TTATCCCGATTAACGTCTCCTTCTATATTTTGCCGCCGGCTCTCGCGCACGTCAGCGAGGGGTAATCACCTCTCGCTCATGCGAGCGGAATCTGCAGCAGCACCTTTGACACCGTCGCCGACGATGCTCGCGTAGGCGTAGGCGACGAGCATCGATTGATTCTTTTAAGGTCACTGACTCGGCGACTGAGCGAGATCTCTTTAATAGCGACTTTGGAAAAAAGGGAGTGAAACGCCCGCCGGCGGCGCGACGTCATCAATGAGGCCACTGAATGAACTCGGAGCTCGCGCGCTATCAGCGCGCATGTGTGTGGGTGAGCGTTTTTCTGATGGAAAACACCGCGTAGTGTCTTGTTTGAACGTGGAAACTCGTCGCGTCGTGTAGGACGCTACGGCGTGACCGCAGATTTACGGCTGCCGAGAGCCGCGCGTCGGATCGAACGACACGTGTTGCTCGATCCGACGCGCACAGCGCTGCTCTGAAATGCCGCTCAATGAGCCACGACACCGAATACGTCGTCGAATGGCGACCGGCGGATCGGTTGCATTCCCCGGGTAATAGGTGCTATCGATCTTTTCGTCCTCTCCCCCCTTTCGTGCGCGCTTCCGTTCCCGGGCTCTCTCTCGCCCAGCGGACGACGATCGTTCTTGTTGTATTCCCTGCGCGTGTCTCCTCGACGTGCCTCTACCTGCGCCTGCCGCATTTGCGTCCTGCATACCGTAAGGCGACGCGCGACGCAAGGTCTCGAGCGCGCTCGATGCATCCCGATAAACTATCGCATGAATGAAGGAATGGCTGAGCGGCCGCGAATCGATACGACGTTGAAGCGCGGCGCGGCTTAAAGTACACCGACAAGTCGGCGGAGACCCATCGAGGAGGAGGGACGCTCTGAGAGAGCCGATCGTGTGGCCGTCGCTGTGAGTAAAATGTTTGACAATAGATAGACGTTGAAGTGCCGCTGCTGGGACAAACTTTACGTTAAGCGCACTCTCGGCAAGGTCGCTCGCGCGCCCTCCGACTTCTCTCGGCCGACACGTAAATTCGAGTTTCTCTCGTATTTCTTACGGTCGTTAATACCAGTTAGACGTGGTATATCTAGACTGCGTGTTCGAGAAGTGAGGGTAGAGCTCACGTAGGAAGAAACGCACTCTATTTTCTCTCTCTCTCTCCCCTCTCTCTCTCTCTCTCTCTCTCTCTCTCTCGCTCGCTCGCCTACTCTCGATGGAAGGGAAATAGGGCAGGCAATTGCTAACCTGTACGACTGTATATAGCCGCAGTCTTTTATTTTTTCTGATTTAGTGATCAACCTAGATCACCGTGTCTGCAGCTCACTTTGAGATATATACAAGTACAGCCGCTGTACTGTCGTACAAGTTAGCAACTGTCTCCTCCCCTGTTCCCCTTCCATCGAGAGTGTGCGGAAGAAAGAGAGAGAGAGAGACCCGACTAGAAATTTATCCCATGGTCCTGATCAGGTTAATCTCATCAGGTCCTAATAAGATAATACTATCGGGTCCTAGTAAGTCATGTAACGCAGCGTGGATATCAGGACCTTAGTAAGGATTCATAGTCAGGTCCTTATTGAGTTACCTTATGGAATTCTTATTACGTTTCTTTCTTTTTTTTCAAATTATGGCTCCTGATTACTCACCACGGCTATATTGAATGATGACATTAGAAATAAGAAATGACACGCTGAGAATTCTTTCATGTCATTTCCAAATAAAAAGATATTTGCATGAAATAATATTTTAGATCGCTTGTATAGCGATACTTGTAAAATGTTTCGGAAAAGAAGCATAAAATGAATATCATAAGATCGTAAAGTATCACAAGGTGACAAGACACAAAGCAGTGTTAAAGAGAAAAGTTGCATGTCCCGTTAATTTTACAACTATTTATTGACCGCTAAAAAAAGGACAGTTTCTATAGCATTTTACAAATTTTATATTCAAGTGATCCGAAGTGTTTTTTTTTAACGCAAACATCTTTATATTTGGAAATGACACCTGAACATCAAGTTTTGTTAAAACTTGATAATGCAAATCATATTAGGTGCGTACAATGAATAAGATCCCGACAAGGACCTGATTAACTGAACCATATTATATCATACACTAGGTGTAGGTACATCAAGGTCCTAATCGTGGACCCAATCGTTATAACCTTATAAAGGTCTTCCTTACTCATTTGTCGTTAGAACATTGCAAGGACTGACTTACTTAGGATTACCTTTCATCCACTCTATCAGGTCCTTATCAATCTTAGGTGAACCTGATCAAAATTTCTAGTCGAGGAGAGCGCACAGACAAAACAGAGTGCATTCCTTCTCTACGTGAGCTCTACTCTCACCCTGAAATTCGGGAGAGCGATTCGGTCTAGGTACACTATGTCTGTAGTTAAGTACGCTCGCATGCTGCCGTGATACGGATTCTTTTCACTCGGTGTGCAATACGCGTACGACAACGTGGAGCTTGAGCAGAAGTCGGGAACGCGCGCCGGTGAAAAAGTGCTGTCGGCGGACGATGAGAGACTCGTGCTTTCCGCCGCATCGAACAATCGACATCGCGATGGCGGGTCGTTAAATCCCTCGATAAATACTCGTTCCGCGTCGCCGAGCGACGCCGCTCGCTCGCTGTATCGCAGCTGTGAAATCGCATTAAAGTCGGCGCGGATCCGCGCGAGGGTGGATGAACGCGAGTGCGCGCGCGCGGAACCGATCGTTTTCGCGATCCATGTGATAATAAACGACTCGTCCCGCGCCGCCGCAGCCCGCGGGATCGTTCGCTCGGCTCTTTAAGCTATTTGTCACGGCGGGCGCGGGCTTTGTCCGCGGCCGAAATCGTCACTCGCGCGCGTGCCGTTCTCTGTGCAAAGAGAAAACGGACGAAAAAATCGCGGCACGTCGAGTGACATCATACGACTCCATATTCGTGTCACGGCTGATTCATGCCTCCGGACGTGAGATCGAGGGGCGGGCAGTTTATTAAATAAATAATTCACCGATGACCTTAAACGCGCACACACACGCGCGCGCGCGCAAACTAAAGTTGCACGACTGAATGTCGCGCTGGGTTTACTGGCTCAAACTCTTGGCGGATTATTACAACATTCCGGGAAACGTCGTATGTATATCTCGCCCAACCACAGCGCCTACTTTCAAAGCGGGCGCGCTCGCTCGCGGTTCGCGAAACGCGAGGCGAGGCGAAGCGAGGCGAGGCGAGGCGAGGCGAGGCGGCACAGCGACGAGAGCAAGTAATGCGCCCGATGTCTATATCTCGCCGGCGCGGCGCGGCGCGGCGCGCGGACGCGTATAAACGCGGACGCATCAACTCAATTGTCTACACCCACCGTGAGGGTAACCTTCGCGGTCCGTTGACCGTCTTTGTAGTCGCTCGGCTGGATCTAGTGTATCGCGTCGTCCTCGTTTTCATCAGTGACGATTAATCCGTGACCTCAGCTTGCATGAAACGTGACCGGCAGGCCCCATTTAAATCGAGCATGACCGCTTCCTCGAAGTCGACGCGATCACTTGGCCTATATATTACAATATATATATATATATTTCGCCCCCCCCCTCCCCCGCCTTGTCGAGGTAAGGAATGGGGCTCGATTCGCGTGAAACTTTGATTTCAATTTTCTCGGGATTATTAGCGTCCAAGAATATCCAAGTTACACACACACACACACACACACACACAGAGAGAGAGAGAGAGAGAGAGAGAGAGAGAGAGAGAGAGAGAGAGAGAGAGAGAGAGAGAGAGAGGGACGATGGATGTTTGCAGGTGACGTGAGGCCGCGCGCATCCCGCTCGGTCGTTCGGAATTTTTTTCATTAATACGTCGCAACTTTGTCGCGTTCGTGCAACGTTCGAGGGTCCAACGACTGATGTATGTGTTGCGTGTGTGTGTGTGTGTGTGTGCGTGCGCGCGCGCGACACAGTTCTTTTTTTCTCGCACGATTAAACGAAACGTCACGCCGCGTTTCCGGAACACGGACGAGTTGGTCGTTGAACGGCGAGCGTTGTCCTCGTTTCGATTAATCCGCTCGATTTGTTTCGCGACTCGATGACGCAATTAAGAAGAACGGGCCTCTCTCCGTCCACCGAATTATCCGATGATACGGCCGAATAGTTTCCGAGCGACTGGTAATCGCGCGGATAATAAAGTAAACAGCTCGCTCGCTCGTCCAGCCGTTGATCGAAATACGGGTACCGCTGTTGGGGAGCAACGTAATTTAGAGGAGGCTATTTCGGCGAGAGGCCGATGTGCGGTGACTCCTTCCTGGCCCGGCTGAACGGCGGTTTGTCAACCGCCCGGGCTGGCCCGAGCGAGACAACGGCGGCGGCGGCGGCGGCGGCGTCGGTTTGACAACGCTGTCAACGCTCCTCCTCCATTGTCCGACTGCGCCAATTAATGAAACGGTGCTCGGCGAGAAAAACGCGCGACAAAGGGAAGTAAAAATGCAATGGTAGCTTTTATTGGCGTTGGATACCACCTAGACCCGGGGTTGTGTTGTTCGCGCTCCGCTCTCTCCGCTCCGCTGCGGTTACGAAAATATTCCATCGGTCTCGGCTTGAACGACCAAACACCAGTCGCGCCGCGAGAACAACGGGGTTGATGACTGCAACAGCAGCGACGCGTCAGGGCGTCGGGGCAGACAGCCGGCAATTATCAAGCGATGTCTGCTTCACGGAGTACCAACCTTTATTCGATTACATCGCAACGACTGTATTTTTTTCATTTTATCGCGCGTCGTTGAAAGCCCGGCAGATTTCGCAGTTGCGCAAATCCCTCTTCGTTAGCTCCGGTCAACGTGCCGTCCGCGAGTTTTCGATGGCTCGCGTCGTCGATGAACCTGCGCGGCACTTTGCTGCGATAATTGTTGCTCGGCAGCGATCATTGACAGAGGGGCGGGGGGCGGGGGGCCCCGGATACCTGTTGCAGGCGCGTAACAGCATGGTATGGTATCAGTGTGACTGAAGACTGCTCCCTCGAAAGATGAAGAAGCCTCATCATCATGTCCTCGCGTGCGCCCTCCTGCTGCCTCTGGCGCTGGCCCTCAGCCTGCAGGAGGACGACCTGGTCTTCGACGACGTCGGCGAGGACAGCGCGAACGAAGCGGCCGCACCGACCGTGAACTATCACCCGTCTTCTCGGCTCGATCGTCACGAGCACACGCTCGAGCCGTCGTCCAGGGATGGCAAGAGGCATCGCTTCGAGAGGCTGTGGGGCGTGCCGGACACCGTCGTCCCGGTTGGTCATATTTTCAAGATGAAAATTCCCCGGCAGGCCTTCTCGGGAAACGTGGATTTTTATGAGGTGAGTTTGTGAGGTGGGCGCGCGCCCGCGCGGCTCGTTCGTTCTACGGCTCCGATTTCCACGCCACGTGACTGGAATCCTTCCGAGTCCTGCCGGTCTTCGGACAAATTCCCGGCTCAATCCCGAGACTCGAAAGTCTTCGAGCGAGAAGAAGATAGTTGAGGGAGCGGGCACACCGCGTTGAAAGTGTCGGGGAGCACTTGCGCGGGAGGACTAGCAAAGGAGGAGAGACTTGTCTCTCATCAAACGCGCATCGTACTCGCGCGCTGAGCAAAGGCTCGCTCACGAATTAAAGCGCGGCCTGAAAACGCACGTCCTCCTTCGCTCGCGCGTACTCATCGTCGAGCCGCATGGCACACCGTGTCAAGTGTCAGCAGCGATGTGTCCCTGCCACCGAGCGCTATTGATTCACTTGTCCTCACATCTGTCCTCGCATTTTCTTCCCTCTCGAGCCCTTGCCCGCCGACTCGACGTCGTCTCGTTGAATCCATATTTGCGATTCAATTTGCTCCCCGCATTCGTCGCACACGACGAATCCCACGACCGGAAATCCTTCTTAGCTTGAATGGCACTGGTCTACCCTTTGTCCTGAAAATTATTCGACCTAACCAGCCGGACACGTTTCTTCGTTGTCCGGAGTCGGAGACCGCGCGAGAAAAAAAGCCACGCGATGCAACTTTTCGAGCACGACAACGGTCGTGCAACGGGAAGTACAATTCGCAACACGAGTTTAAAAACAACGACGTTAGGTCCACGAGACGATCGATCGCAACCGTCTGCCGCGATGGTTGTACTGGGACGACGCGGCGTCTACTCTCTCGGGCGTACCGTCGAAGAAGGACGTAGGCAGTCATCACCTAACCGTGAAGGCCATCAGCAAGCACGGCGACATCGCCAAGGATCAGTTCGTTGTGCAGGTGATACCCGAAAAGCTGGAGGAACTCAAGCACAAGGACGGGAAGGTGAGTGTGAGCGAGAGTCGGGAGGAAGAGAATGTTGGCTCCGGGATCTAACGAGAGCGCGAACAACGCGTGAGAGAAGCGTCGTTAGCCGCTTGCAACGCCCCGCTGGCATCATTTCAAGTTTCTTATCCGCGTCGTCGAACAACAGGTCGCCGCCTCTGTGTGTGTGTGTGTGTGTGTGTGTGTGTGTGTTGGCCTACGTGCTCGTTTTACTTTGCTCGCTAATGAATAATATAACTTGAAGATAGGAACGTACTCGTGTCGTGTAACGACACGACCGACACTGCGACAGACACTCGGACGTGTCTGTGATACTCGACGAGAGACAGACAGATAATGTTCGTCCGTTCCTCGTCATCTTCCTCGATGACGCTGATGATGAACAGAACACGAAGTAACATCATCGTTTTCGTTGCTTCGGTGTGTGCCTCGCATGCTGCATCCTATTTTCCACGGCCCGTTTTTTATTTAATCGCGCGCAGTACAGCTCGCGAATCGATGGATTTATAGTGGAATTTATAGCGGTTTCTGTCGCGTCGCGTCGCGCCGCCGCCGCGATATAAATCGCCGTCGAAACGGTGTCGATCGCGCAGCTATGCCGTCGCGTTTAAATGTCGTAAAGAAATTACTCCCGCGGACGCGTTAAGCGATTGACGCCAATTGATATTGCGCGCGCTTCGTCCTCCGCGTCTGCGATCTTTTGAGATTTTACGCGAGTCTGGTGGGCGGCGCATGAATAAAAGTGCGGCTGCTGGAAATGGGGCGGTTCTAATTATAGATGCATTGCGACGACGACGAGGAGCAAACTATCCTGACGGTTTTGCTGGACGCGCGACTGGATCGACTGTCGCCCAGAGCCAGGGTGGATGCCATCGAAAACCTCGCGGGATTTCTCGGAATGCACAAGGTATCGGGTATTTGACCTTGAAGATGATTATCATCGCGACGCGAAAGCGATCGGTGGTAGAATTTCCGTTATTTTCCCCGAGCGTTTCAGTAGACGTTTCAGTAGACTGTCATGGCGTTTATCGATGTTTCTTTTTCTTCAGAGCGCTTTTTCGATGCATTCCCAAACCAAGCACGACAATATGCTGTCCGTCCTCTTTGGCGGCCATGGAAACGTGCCGTATCACCGAGAGATGTTCTTGACCACTATCCAGTGGCAGGTAAGATTCGAGACTCGTACACTCTACGCTTTACCCGTGATCCTTTATATAATATTCTCTTGTCTCGTGTGGAACGTAGAAATATGTAACCGTGTCGATACCGTACAGGTCGTCGTCAGCAATCTCTCTCTCTCTCTCTCTCTCTCTCTCTCGTCCTTACGACGCTTCGATAAGCAACTTTCTATGTGCGCGCATTTTCCCCAGGTTGGCTGCGACGGTCACTTGTGGAGACATCAGGTGGAATTGATAAGGCAATTGAGGGAACAAGCGAAAGACGGCACTTTGGCGGAAGTTCTGCAATTGCCCGTAATACTGTGGCGTGTAAAGACGGACTCGAGCTCTTTCCTGAGGAACAGAAGAGAGGTCGGCTCGGGCGACGATAACTCGGATGATTACGACGGCTATGATGACGATTACGATGGCGACTACGAGGACGGCGGTGAGGACAGAGAGGACGATAACGAAGACCCGCAGGTACAGCCGACTTATGTGCCGCCGGATTTCAGCGGAGCGAGAGGCAACACCGTGTCGGAACACCCTCACCGGCATCATCACGGCGAAGAAACGATCGATTGGAACGTGAGTTATTGCGCTTTTATCTGCTTTTTTATTCCATCTGTTTTTTTTTTTTTTTTTTTTTTTCCCACGAGATTTTCCGCGCGTTAGTTGGAGAACACAGTGATGTCGTCGCGGGAGCAAG